CGCGAAGGGGGCGTGGCCCAGGCGGTTTGTGATTGGCGGGCGGGATTTATGAATGGCGGGCAGGTGAAAATGGCGGGAATTTGTGAATGGGGGCGGGATTTATGAATGGGGGGCGGGGCTTTCCCACCCCATTACCACACCCGCACCCCCCCCAGCCCTAATTACCGTTAATTACCGCCCGCAATTAATTCATTAACGACCAAAAAAAGGCGGGGGGAGTCCCCCTGTAATGGGGGGGACCCCGAATTTATTTGGGGAGGGGGATGTGGGGGAGGGGCGCTCTGGCCACGCCCATTTCCCACCAGGGGAGGGCAGCCCCTCCCCCACCTTGGTCCCAGGGGTTTTTTTTGGGGGGTCCCGGGAATTTTGGGGTCCCTGAGTTTTTTTTTGGGGGGGGATCCCGGGAAGGTTTTTGGGGATCCCATAAAACTCTGGGGTCGCTCCAGGTGAGATTTTGGGGGTCCAGAGCGTGGGAACCACCCCCAAAAAATTTTAAAAATCTCAATTTTGGGGTGACTTTGGGATCCCCCCCCCAAAGAAAAAAAATTTTGGGGGTCCCAGGTGAATTTTAGGGGAGGGGGAAATCCCCTAAAATTTTGGGGATCCCATAAAATTTTTTTTTTTGGCAGCGATTCCAGGTGAGATTTTGGGGGGGGAAAAAAAAACCCCAAAAATCCCAATTTTGGGGCGATTTTCGAGGGGATTTTTTGGGGGGATTTTGGGGTTTTTTGGGGTGGGGGATTTTTGGGGGTCACTCTTTTTTGGGGTGGGGGTCCCGGGTGCCCCCCAAAAGCAACACCTGGGCCAGCAGGACCCCGTTACAGGTGGCCGAGGCTGCGAAGGTCGATGCCAAAAGGAGATCCCCGGTTTCCTGCAGGGCAAATTTGGGACAAATTTGGGACATTTTGGGGGGTCTGGAAAAAAATTCTGGGGGTCCTGGAGAGGGATTGGGGAGATTTGAGGAGAAATTTGGAGATTTTAGGATTTTTTGGGGGGTCCCCAGGGCGATTTTTGGGGTTTTAGGGGGGGAATTTGGGAGTTTTAAAAGGATTTTAGGGGGGGATTTTTAGGATTTTGGGGTGGAATTTTAGGATTTTAGGAGGAATTTTGGGGGATTTTAGTGAAATTTTGGGGATTTAGGGGGAATTTTGGGGGATTTT